TCTGCTGTGGTTTGTTTGTTATCACGAGAAAAACACAGTGAAAATGATATTGATTTTATTGCATCATTTTACTGACTAGAACGCCAGACTTATAGTGGATATAAGTATAAAAATAATCGAATTCTTACAAATACTTTGCTGCTACAGTACTGAATAATTCATGGAGGTTGCAATTATAATACAACTTTAAATAACAGTCTCATAATGGATTTAACACAGTCAACCAGGGGCTAAGGTTTAAAGGTCTGCAAAGAGAAATCTGGGACAATGTGAAAACTCAAAAGTTCATCTTCCAGCTACATGCTTCATTTAACCATAAATCCAGCAACACGAACATTTACAAAACTCACAGCAACCCATGATGAGAGATCTTTTAAGAAACAGGCAAAGTAATACAGAAACCTGGGTTAGTTTCCCAGCTAGACAGGTTCCATCCCATCCCTGTCTAGTCCCATCCTTCCTATCCAAGAACTCTGCACCTGAAGTGCATTATTATGTATCCAAGAAAAAAAAAGAAAAGCTAGAATCTAATATGCCAATCCTTTAAAATATCCTCTTTAAAATGCCACGAGAACAGAGCCAGTCTAAGATATGTCTTTTTTTTAGACCTCAATTGTCCCCTTTGGTTTCACAGGGTTCTCTGTGAGCACTTCACACCAAATAGGATGGATTATAACACTCTTGAAAAGATACTTTAGCACAACAAATGAAGTGACATTTAAAACTTTAATCTTTCTAGTAGTTTAACCAGGTTCCTTCTCCGGGGAGCCAAGAAAAGAAAACGAAAAAAGAGCATATACTTAACAGCCAACTCTACAAAACGGTATGTATTTCCAAAAATGCACATGAGAACCTCAGAATGCCACTTTGTCAAGCAGAAGGAAATGCAATGTCCCTTCTAATCCCCACAAAAGTTTTCACACAGAAAAAATATCTCTGATACTAAAGGTGGTTTTCAGTAAGATACAAAATACTGAGATACTGAACTTTGCTTTCTTCCTCTCTCCAAAGAAGCACTCTAGTTTTGAAATCAGTGTATCTTAGAACCATGGGAAAACCCTAGTTTGGGGTGTGTTAGGCTAAACTAAGCCAGAAGCAGCTGGCCTGAACATTCTTGCTTCTGCAGGCAGCATCCATGGAGTTACAGGCACCCACGTGGGTGCACCACCAGTGGGCAAGATGGCTTAATGGAGGCCCCAAGAAGCTACACGTGAGGAGTGACCCTGAGGTGTCTGCTCTGGGAACTTTCACATCTGAATGAATATCACCCTTCAACAACATTTTCGTGGGCAGCCATCCAGCCTCATCTTGCAAAGATGTTGCCCTCCCATTTGGGCTAACGTTAAGAATGACCTCTTTAATAACTTAACAGTTAACGTCTTAGTTTTGGACCTCAAATGCTATCAGCCAGCTTGATTACACTATCCACTCAGCAATTTTGGCCCTAAATGACTTAGCTGCTTCTGAAAACAAACTTTTGTCAAAGGAGGAAGATTTGTCAGCATTTAAGACATTTCAACTGAATATGTTCCAGACTCGGATCACGTTCACAAAAACATGCTTCCAATATGTGGGAAACATGGCCTCACCACGGGAGCAGGGCGAGGCAGCCCTCAGATAGATGTCTAAGTCTGGCCGTGTCTGTCAAACACCCAGGTCATCACCATACACCTCCTTCAACCAAAGCCACGTACCAATATGCTCCTTGCTAACAAGCATGAGCCAGCCACTGTTATCTTGATGACGACCGCAAACATCCAAGAAATACATTTAACAACAGACCTGAAAGGACTGTTTCAACATTTTGCTTTTGTACTTCATGGCATTAGTTTAGTTACTGTTTAATAATATTAAAGTTCTTAAAATAAACAACTTTTATTTTAAGCCTACTCTCTCCAGCTCTCTTTGACACTGGATGGTGAGGCATCTGCCAGGGAGGTGAGGCAAGAGGTATAGCGAGAAGAACAAGCCAGGCAGCCTCCAAGGCAAGGTGCTTATCCCCTCTGAAGGGTCCCATGTCCGAGAAATGGGCTCTCTCGCACCCACCCCTCAAGGGTGCGGTGAGGCCACGTACCCTGCACACAGCCTGGGTGTGGTGGGAACACATGAGATGTCTGTTGAGACTATTTAGTCTTTCTAAATTGTCTCTAGTGCCCTGGGCTGGCTCATGGGGCAAGAGGAAAAGACACCAGAAATAAGACCCTCTGGAGCTTCGACAAAACCTGCAGATGCTGGGAGGCCCTGGTGAGCACCTCCCTGCCTTGCGAGTCACCGTGCTCCAGCCTACTGCGGGACATGGGGTTCCACGCGGCCTCACTCTTCCCTACAGACGTCTGAATGTCTCATGGACAGCTTCCTCCAGCGCCCCCAGCTGTGGGGCTCCCACGCAGGACCCAGGCATTTCTGTGCACAGGGCTCTCACACTCCAGGTACAGGGGCTGACACAGCACCTGTGCCAGAGGGGAGGGCTTCTGCTCACGAGGGGTGCATAGAGCCTGTCCCCCATCCCAGGGGCTGCTGCTCCACCAGCTGTGTCTTGGCTCAGGGAGGACCCTCTAGAGGTATTTAACCCCAAGCAGGAACAAAGCCAGCCTCTCCCTTCCTTACCCAGGCGAGCAGCCGGCACTGGCACTCCCACCCGCCCCCAACTCTGCAAGTCTCTAGGAACTGCAGATACGATGTGAACTCAACCTTGCAGGGGGCCTCCCTTTTTCACAGTAAAAGGAAAAACAGCACTCTTAATCCACTTCACATGCACAAAAGCCACTCCCAGGAAAGCATTGGAACTTACAGCACACTCTTTTCTGGATGTTGAGATTCTGCTCCAGGATGCTTTGGGGACAGAATGCTTCACGTCGTGAAGCATATAGCTTCTGGCCCTGGCACAGGTGATGATCTGTCAGCTGTGAGGTCAGCTGGAGGCGGCAGGCGTGTATGCCTGGGGACAGCCCCCACTGTGGCTCCGGGTCCCGGGGGCACCGGGGGCAAGCGAGGCTCTGCGGCCAAAGCCCGGAAGCAGCCGCCTCCCTCGGGCCCCAGCCTGCTGGCTCAGGTGTGCTGAGTGCAGGAGCTTGACCTCTCCAGTTAGATGGGAGACCACGAGGCACAGACGGCCGTTCGGTTGCACGGAAAGAGGCCAGACCCGAGATTTCTAAAAGGGGATGCTCTGAAATTATAAGTTGGCACCCACTAACAAAACAGAATTCTTTTTGTATCTATCTCATGAGATGAATGCAATTTAAACTACTAAGTGGTATCACAGCTGACCAGTACTCCTGCTGCAGCAGGGAAACGGTGACTGGTGGAGACCACGGGACTCGGGATTTTGCACTTAAAACTCTTTGGACGAGAATTACAGAAGAGTAATGATTAGATTCATTCTGAAGAGCTTAGAGAACCTTGAAGAAACAACCATGACCGGGACAGAACCGTCTCCAAAGGCTGCACCATTTCCAGAAGTGTGGGTGCCCCTGAGCTCCGAGCTTCAGGGTGGGAACAATTCATTTACCTCTGTGTTCTCTTCACTTCATCCTGAACCAGGATGTTCAAAAGCAGATGAGAATGATCACAGTTCCACAAGCAGCAGTTAAAGGCACAGCACTGGATATGCCCCCCTCGCAGGACCCACGTTTCAGCCACCGTAAGTAAGACGCGTGGAATTTCCTTCCCCAAGGCCAACGCTCAACTCCCTAACTGGCCAGAAGTCCTTAGTTCTCCAATGCTGACTTGAATTATACCCATGTTTCTGGAGGGAACTCCGTAGTAGTACAAAGAGTTACAAATTACTGTTTGAGAGAAAATAAGTTATTTCTTCAATGAATAAATAGCTTTGAGTGGTTGGCTGAACCACTCAACCGACACTGAGTTTGAGGACGAGATTGGGGCTACTAGCAAAGATGCCGCACTGGTGGGTAAGCAGGCTCACGTGTGGCTCCAGCCCAGCTCCGTATTCTTTCTCAGGAACCGCGCGCCCGGCTTCCCAAAGCACTGGTGTTTCAGAAAATTGAATGCGCCTGTTCAGCCCATTTTCCTAACCATGTTCAGCTGCAGCAACAACAAAAGCTGCTTCTCCAGCTCAGACCCAACCTGCACTGAGCTCTCCGCTTCTACTCCACATGTAGCAGCCTTGGCCTCAAGGATGGAGGCCAGAGCCCACGCACCACGCAGTGCCCTCCGGGATGGCACCCTTCCACCAGGGCCTTCATCCAGTGCTTGCTGGGTCTCACTACGGGGCAGCTGGATGCCTCTAACTAGAACCAAATGGAAGTTGTTTTGCCCTGATCCAGATGTAACTGCAAAGGGAAAAAAAAAAAATCCTAGATAAATGTGTCGCCTTGACTAAAGAAAACAAACTGGAATTGTGTGCTGCGCCTCACAAATTTCAGTTCCTCATTTTGGGGGTTTGTTTGGAGAACGTAGCACGAGACGACTTAGGACGGTGTGTTAACCTCCAGCATCTCCAAACACTAGTGGTATGTCCATCAGCACCTGTTGTTCAGCACGTAGCTACTGGGCAGGAAAACAACAAAAGAATCAGTATTTTGCTGTAAATGAATCACCAAATTGGGGCCTATGGAAGTGCCCGAGTAGAAGAGGCCTTCTTTCTGGAGCAGTCTTGAGAAACATCCAAAAGGAGACCTCCCTCCCTACTTTTGCATTTACTAAAGTGCAAACTAAGGAAAACCTGGGTCCTTGCACTGATACCTGATGATCAGCCCTAATTAACAGTCACCCCGAAGCCACGGCCAAGCTGCAGTCATGCGGGGACTCTACCGTACTGGCCCGTGTTCACATTCACAGTAGCAATGAAGGTGCCGGATGAGCAGCCTGCAGCTCCACGTCCACGGGCTCCAGCTGTCCCCTTCCACTGTGGTCACACCCCCCCACGCCCGTCCCCTCTCCACTGGCCGCTCAGGTGTGGCTGCACAAGTCCTGGGAGCGGCCGGCGGGAGGTGCTCCGCTGGTGCAGTCGCAGCAATGGGCCCCTCTCTCTGCTGCACTTAGAAGTAGTCTCTTCTCCTGCTCTCATCGCTGATGAAAGATGGGTTATACTGTCCGGGGAAAATGCAAGAATGCCGTGATCCTGGCAATCCAGTGTAGGCCGGGTAGAGTCCATTTCGTTCAAGTTCAGGATTCCTTACACTTGTAGGCTGGTGGCCAAAGAGAAAAGAAGAAAAGTCAGTTTATTATTCTTGGGTTTAAATTTAATAGTTAAGAAAAAAGAAACAATGAATGCTATATTTTGACGAATTTAAGATGGAGGCAGCTATACATAGCAGAGCAAGGTCTGACCTAGAAGTCAGGACCTCCCAGGTCGTCTCTTTATGGAACCTGGGATCCCTTTGCCCATATCTTTAAAGTGGGTTTTTAGAAACATTACATAATCAAGAGCAGCCCAGTCATCTTTATTTTATTAAAATTTATTTATTTATTTATTTTTGGCTGTGTTGGGTCTTTGTTGCTGTGCACGGGCTTTCTCTAGTTGCGGCAAGCGGGCGCCACTCTTCGTTACGGTGCGTGGGCTTCTCATTGCCGTGGCTTCTCGTTGCGGAGCACAGGCTCTAGGCGCGCGGGCTTCAGTAGTTGTGGCACATGGGCTCAGTAGTTGTGGCTTGCAGGCTCTAGAGTGCAGCCTCAGTAGTTGTGGCTTGCGTGCCTGGTTGCTCCACGGCATGTGGGATCTTCCGGGACCAGGGCTCGAACCCATGTCCCCCGCATTGGCAGGCGGATTCTTAACCACTGCGCCACCAGGGAAGTCCCAAGAGCAGCCCAGTGATTTCAGACCAATATAGGAAAAGACCTGGGTTAACTATTATCTTGATTATTATCAAGAGTAATTATTATCTGATTATCATTTTGACTTTTAAAAAAGAGTTTCTCTGCGAAGCACAATGGCTTTAAATCCTCTCTGGTATTTAGCAGAACACTATTGTCCCTGCCAAGAATGGGGGACTGACCTTCACAAGGCCACCTGTCGGAGGTGGAGTTAGGACCCCAAAGCAGGAGGCCAGCTGATTCTCAGGTGTCTCTGACCAGATCCCAGCTTAGTGGGTTGTGACTACCTACCTAACGCAAAAGGAGCCCCTGGGGAAGGCCCTGGCTGCTTTGAGGAGGCCCTTCTTCAGGGAGAAATGTCGGCTTATAGAAACAAAACACTATTTTCTGCTTATTATAATGTGGATCCCAGAAGAGCCCAGTGTACACCTGAGACCACTGTGAGGGACAGCCCACTCCCTCAGGTGACAGCTTAGGCTCTGCTTCTACAGACTGCTCAGCCTACTGTCTGAAATGAAAATGGGGTTCATGTAAGCTTGTGAGTGCATCTACTTAAGACAACTCTTCAGCTAATGGCCTGGGAACACGCAGCAAACATGGGTCCTGTGATGCTGTAGGCCTGTCAGTTGCTCTGTCCTGGTGCTGCCTGGGGGCTGAGGAGTCCCTAGTGAAGGTTGTTAAGTGTGTGGGTACCCCTGGGAGAGATACCTGCTCAGTTACGGCTGCAGCTATCAGAGGAAAAAGACTTTCCTGACAAACAGAGGGTAAAGCAAAGCTCCTATGCATAAATATCAACAGAAACATACAAACTAGATCTATCTTTGTATCTACATTTATCTTTCCCCTTATTTCTTTTTGTTCTTCCTCCAGGCCAGGTTCAAATTTTTCAGAGTCCACTGAAACTACAGCTTCCTTAGCACGAATGCCCCTCCCATCCAAAGTCTGAACGCGCAGGTTAATCTCCATAGCAACCAGAGTGGTTGTTCAGTCTGTTAATAGGATTACCTAAAGCTATTAAGTCCCTTGAAACCTTAGGGCAAGGTTTCACGTTTACTGCTATACTTCTAAAGCTCTGCAAGGCAGGAGAAGTCACTTGCCAGCTGTTTATTTTTCAGCTCAGGTATCACCGCCTGTGTTTGCTTCACGGCTGATGCAGTGTAACATGAAAGAACGGAGCAGGCATGGGAATATGACATGAGTTATTCAGTGTGGGACAGAAGAAGCAAGGGTTCAAGGTGGTCTCTCATCTTTCCAAGTGATGCACTCCAGGGATGGACATAGCAAATTATTAAAGACCTAATGAATCTTCCAAACCTCTGACAATTCAGGATGACACTGAATTGTTCTCTTTATACCTTTTCCCAATCCCTCACTTTCAACTACCCAACCACATGATGTAAAGCATGGCAGACAAGAGATAAAAATGAAAGTGCCAAGGGCTAAATGTCATTAAATTCTTTCTCTATCTTTTACCTTCCAGTCCTGTGACTTAAAAGCAAGTTCAGTGACAAGAAGGTTATTGCTGCAACCTCATAAAGTACATACCGTGCTCTGTGGAAATACTCTTCATAGCTCAATGCTGAAACTAATAAATCCCATGCAAATAGATAGTAAGTAAACTGAATATTAAACTATGTGAATAAGAGGCGTAGGCCACCATTCTTTTTAACCTTTAATGAGCTGGAGTGCTTTTACTACAACAAAACAGAATCCGTTGGGAGTTCTCTGGTCGCCTAGTGGTTAGGATTCCGGGCTTTCACTGCCGTGGCCCGGGTTTAATCCCGGGTCAGGGAACTGAGATCCCGCAAGCCACGTGTCGAGACCAGGAAAACAAAACAAAAAAAACCCCAAAACAAACAGAAAAAACAGAATCCCTTTAATTCTCCGAGGAAATTGGAGCCGGGAGGTCACCTGGGCACGGGAATACACACCGAGTAATACACATCCGTCATCTGGAGGAGGTTTTTGGTACTTCCATTCTCATGCATTTCAATAGCTTCTCGGCCCCATTCTTGTGAGCGAGGGTTCTTGGGGTACTCAGCATATGGGGACATTTGGAAATCCCCACTTTTGAAGATGAGCTTGCTTATGTCGTTTTTATTCTTTCTGCAAGGGAAAACAATTGAAATAAGTTCTGTGAAGAAATGCTATCTGTGAAAGCACCATCTAGTTTTTTGCAAGGAAAATCAGACCTAAAGATACCACTATACATTTTTGTAGCTGCCCACTGAGGAATGTTATTATTGTTGTTATTATTTTTAGTATTTGCCTATAAAAATGCGATTAGGGGCAAAAAAAAAGATGCAAAAAATCTTCCAACCCAAAGGGTCAGGTTATCGTGGGTAGAGAGGACAAAGACAGCTGCAGTGGAGCAGATTTAGACCATTCTGGGGGACAGAGGTCACTGTACCGTGGGGTCAGCCAGGGAAACAAGAGTCATAAATTCAGAAGATGTTGCAGCGGGAAGGGCCTTTAGGATTCTTTAGTCCAGCAGTTCCCAACCTGCTTGAGGAGCTCTGGGGATGGGGCAACTCTGGCTTTGTGAAGGATGTGACTTGTCCTGGGGTCACGGTTGGCTACTAGTAAAGCTGGGGCCAGAATTCACGCCTCCAACTCCCCGGCCACTGCTGTTCCACCGCATGAAGCTACTTCAGGAACCACGAAAACAGTATGTTTTGTGTTTGCAGAAATGCCCACCTGTGTACATACCCACACAGACTCTCATGTCAGCGGGGCAGGGAAACCCTAGGACTAGTTCCCTAGTGGTGAGAGTTCTCTGACTACAAACTGGTGGAGGATGTGTTATTCACCTTCTGCAATGGGCCTTGAATCAGACATTTTTAGTGATATTTGTCCTGGGTAAGATAATCTGGAGTTTCCTCCCTCTACACCTCGCTTTCCTGTAAATAAATGTTCTAGGGAAGGCACCAAATCATTCAGGATCTTAAAACCAAATGTCCAGCATGGGGCTTAGGCGTTGTCCCTTCTTACAAGTTGAGAACAGACCTGCCATTGTGTTGCTCCCTGGGGGCTGGAGCATCTTGTCTCAAACAATGACTTACAGCGACCTTCTCCCAGGGACCAATAGTCACAGGCTCTCTTTCCCCAAATGGCTACACTACCTGGTACAGGACACTGAGCGGATAGGAGGCTTCTGTCTCCTGGAGCACTCAAAGTCTATCTCTCTAGCTCCTAGTCTCCTACCCAGATTTTTATTTCCACTCACACAGTTTATCTCTGATGCTTTGATTGCAACGTTGTGAATGACAGGCATGGGCTGAACCATGAGGCCTGCATCCCTGGATGGGCAGTTGGAGCAGCTAGCTCTCTGCAGCATTCCTGGAGACAGAGGATATCTTAGAGGATATCTTAAAATGTCCTTCAGGTCAATGGTTGAAAAGATAACTTGCTATTTTGTAGGTCCCCTCCATCTGCTATGTCAGGATAATTCCTGCCATTTATTATCACCTAAATCAAAAGTCTGAGTTTTCCCTTATCTGAATAACCAGAGAAGGGAACCAATTCCTTTCTTTTTCTTCCTTTTCCAAACGAAACCCAATCCCACTGCTGTCCAGGAAGCCTAGAGCCAAGTTTACTACTGTCTGCTCATCCACATGCCTGCCACCTCTCCACTGCTAAACATTCCAGGCAATCCCTTTCGTCTTTGTTTGCTTCTTAATTTTCCCATTTAAAGTATAAAAGTCGGGCTTCCCTGGTGGTGCAGCGGTTAGGAATCTGCCTGCCAATGCAGGGGACACAGGTTAGAGCCCTGGCCCTGGAAGGTCCCACATGCCGTGGAGCAACTAAGCCCATGCACCACAACTACTGAACCTGTGCTCTGGAGCCCGCGAGCCACAGCTACTGAGCCCACGTGCCACAACTACTGAAGCCCACGTGCCCTAGAGGCCATGCTCCACAACAGGAAAGGCCACCGCAATGAGAAGCCCGTGCACCGCAACGAAGAGTGGCCCACGCTCGCCACAACTAGAGAAAAGCCTGCGAGCGGCAATGAAGACTCAACGCAGTCAAAAATTTTATTTAAAAAGTGTAGAAGTCAATGGTTTTTAGTATATTCAGAGTTGTGCAACCGTCAGTTGTGCAACTTTGGAACAATTTCATCACCCCAGAAAGAAACCCCACACGCCTTAGCCATTACTCCCCAGTTCTCCCCGCTGCCCATCCAGGCCTAGGCAACCAACAATCTACTTTCTGTCTCTATTTGATTTGCCTATTTTGGACATTCAAATAAATGGAACCATACATGTGTGGTCTTTTGTGACTGGCTTAATTCGCATAGCATACTATTTTCAAGGTTCATGCATGTTATAGCGTGTTTCAGTATTTCATTCCTTTTTATGGCAAATAATATTCCATTGTATGGATATATCACATTTTGTATATCTATCCATCAGTTGATGGATATTGGGTTATTTTCACCTTTTGGCTATTACGAATAATGCTGCTATGAATACTTGTGTACATGGTTCGGTGTGAACACCCGTTTGCATTTCTCTTGGTATAAGAGTGGAAATGCTGGGTCAGATGGCAATTCTGCTTAACGTTCTGAGGAACTGCCAGACTTTTTCGAAGTGACTACACCATTTTATGTTTCCACCAGCAGTGTCTGAGCATTCTACTTTTCCCACATTCTCACCAACACTTTCTACTTTCTGGGTTTTGTTGGTTTGTTTTAGTAGCCATCTTAGTGGGTGTGAAGTGGTATCTGATGTTAGTTTTTCCCTGATGGATAATGACATTGAGCATCTTTTCATATATTTATTGGGCATTTGTGTATCTTCTTCAGAGAAATGACTATTCAAGTTCCTTGCCCACTTTTAATTGGGTTGCCTTTGATAGGGACAGAGTAAAGGGACAAAATAAGTGATTAAATAGTTAATCCCACTAAAGGATAAGTAAAGAAAAAAGCATGGGAGACCCCTGTAAGTTAATGATCACTCAAGAAAGCAGGTTTACTTAACCACAAAACCAACCTGGCTTGCTTAGCAACAAAACCATGCAACAGAAGCTTGAGACATGCCCCCAAACAGTAAAACAATGGTAAAATGCGACCCACATGCTGCCCAGTAAGGTAAGTTAATAATTCCTAGGACACGCTCCCTTGCATGCACTAAAAACAAACATACAGGGAAAACATGACGTTATACTAAAACCTGAGATGATTTACCATTTTTAGCATATGTTACCACCCTTCTGCTTATTTAAATAGTGCCATGACAGTCCCGACTTCACCATGTAGGGACAAGAAAACTCCCCCACCTGCTGTGGAGGAGCTGATGATGGAAGCGTGACGTCCACTCAACAACGGTCCTCTCCCCCTCCCCATTCTTCCTTTGATTATAAAACTGTAGCCCACTAAGTTCTTAGTGTGGTACCCTCTTGCCCACAGGCTTCTAAACCTCACAAGCATCCTATTCTGATAAATCACTTCTTATCTATCACTTTGCTGAATTCTTTCTGCACCAAGACAGAAGAACCTACGCTCTACTAAGTCCCAAAATGCGTTCTGCGGTTTCACCTTTTTATTACTGAGTTGTAAGGATTCCTTATATATTTTAGATACAAGTCTTTAATTAGACATATGATATGCAAGTACTTTCTCCCCTTCTGTGGGTTGTCTTTTTCACTTTCTTGATAGTGTTCTTTGAAGCAGAGAAGTTTTAATTTTGATGAAGTCCAATCTGTCTTTTTCTTTTGTTGCTTGTGCTTTTGTGCTCTTTTAGTAAAAATCCCATTTGCTGTCCCTTTCTTTCCCAGATGGTACTACCTATCATGAATTTCCCTTTTTCCTTTTTTTAAATGGTTCAGTCATTCATTACGATTTAATACTGTAAAGTACCCCAGACATTCTTTAAAAGGGGTAAAAATGACCCTTGCTCAGCACAGGCAAAGAAGGAGAATTAAAATGTGGACTCTTGGCACTCACCTGCAACAGGTAACGATCAGTGCGATGCCCAGGATGAGTAGAAGCCCACCTCCCGCTGCTGCGATCACCACAGTGATGAGCTGATAGGCTAAACAGGTTTAAAAAGGAAAAAAGTGGATTGGTAAGAGGTAATGAATGAATAAAGGAATACCAAAAAATGGTCCCCTTCCCCGCCCCACGGCTACTCCATGCCTCAGCTGGTGACTACTTTTCATTTTCTGGGCCCCCAGCAAAGGCTGCTTGGGACTAGCTCTGCATTTTCTCAGTTGAAGGGGAGCAGATTTTGCCATCCCCAAATATGCCTCTTTGGTATATTTATTATTTTGAGCTGATATTTTTGAGAAATTGCAGACACAAGAGAAACTCTGAAAACTGAGTATTAATTACCCATTTGTAAGGGAAATTTACATTAGAAAGAGGCTTGTACCAGGAAGAGAGCTAATACCACAGATAACTTTTTCACCTGAGAGACTTATCTGCTTGGCACGCAACCTTTGTGTCCCAAACATTTCCTCTTATCACTTTCCTGTAAATTGCATTTTTCCCTTTGAAGCCCTAGACCCCTAGCCCTTTCCTCAGCTCAGGAGGGTATATGAGCCTCAATCATCTGGCTGCCTTTTGAGTCTCATGTCTTTGTGGGGCTCCCGTGTGTATGCGCATAATTAAAATTGTTTTTTCTCCTGTTACTCTGGCTTTTAATGGGAGTGGGGAGGGGGTGTCAGCCAAGAATCTAGAAGGGTAGAGGGAAAATGGTTATCCCTCCCCTATACTATTTTGAGCAGAGTTTCTCTTTCTCAGCCACTCCTAGAATGGGGGCTCCCAAATTCTACCTGCAGACCAGCCCGATGACATTGTTACCAATCCACAATCAGAAGAGAAAAATAAAAGAGATGCATACATTTTTCAAAAACTAAACTCTTTTGGGTTGTTTTTTCCCTAGTTTTAATACCTTCTAAAATTTGGTCCTTCCGACTTTTTTTCCTCACTTAATACAGATGCATTTTATCATGTGTAAATTATGCCTCCAGTAAAGCTGCTTTTTAAAAAGTAATTGGAAAAAAAGAATATTTTCTTGGCTACTTCCCACCCTTGGTGGTTAATTGTTTTTTAAAATTTTTGAATTGATGTAAAATTTTTTAAATTTGGTTTTAGGTTCTTACTTGATAAAATAAAAAGAAGGCAACCCTAGGTTAGATTCCACAATTTTATAAGAAATATTACCCAGAGTGTGGGAATCACTGTATAACCCATGCTAGAAACTGGGTAGTCTCAACACATACACAGTGAATTTAATTACCAGAAATTAGCAGTCATAGAAGCAAGCACAGATCATATATAATAATATTAAAATTTTAATTAATTGGTTTTATACCTATGTATTTCTGGAAAACATATTTTCAATAAAATCTGTTAAATATTCAGATTGTTTTTTGCTGTGGAAATATGATTATAATTGTGCTCTCAGGCTGTAAGGTCCAGGATGAAAAAAAAAAAAGAGAGCCAATGACCAGGTTTTCTATAGTAAATTAGGATGGAACCATACTCTCTAAGGTATTCAGGTAAAGTCAAAGGATAATGCACAGAGCTGACAACGAGCAGACTGTGAGAGAAGAGCAAATACAAGTCATGCAACCATTTACCTGTCCTTTCTTGAATTAAATAGCACAGAAACCTGATTACTATGAAAAACCGTCAATATTAAGATATCCAGGAAACAAAGCCAAACCAAGGAATGAGTTCATTCTCTCCCTCACCTCCTGACACATCTACTCAAGCTTCATTTTTTAAAAAGTGAGGACAAAAGACACATCTCTTGAATTTGTCAACTTCCTTTTATCTCCACCAACACTACCCTAAGCCACCATCGACTGCTGACCAGACAACTGTAATCACCTCCTAACTCATGATCCTGTGCCCAGTCTTGCCCACTCACTTCAAAAACCAAATCTGACCATGCCATTTCCCTGCTTCAAAAAACCTACAGAAGCTCCCTTTGTTCCTAACCAGAAACCAAAGTCTAGTTCTTGCTTATCCTTCCACACCAAGTTCATGTTTTCTCACTTCCGGCAAAACAAGCGAGCAGTCATTTTAGAAGTGACCCTTGCAAGTTGCTGCAGCTGTGGCAGGTTCCCCTTTGAAACAAGCACCTGTGTTGTGTCTAAAGAGACAAAGGGGGCTTCCCTGGTGACGCAGTGGTTGAGAGTCTGCCTGCCGATGCAGGGGACACAGGTTCGTGCCCCGGTCTGGGAGGATCCCACATGCTGTGGAGCGGCTGGGCCCGTGAGCCATGGCCGCTGAGCCTGCGCGTCCGGAGCCTGTGCTCCGCAACAGGAGAGGCCACAACAGTGAGAGGCCCACGCCGGTCCGGGAAGATCCCACATGCCGCGGAGCCCACAATGTGCGGAGCGGCTGGGCCCGTGAGCCATGGCCGCTGAGCCTGCGCGTCCGAAGGCTGTGCTCCGCAACGGGAGAGGCCACAACAGTGAGAGGCTCGCCCACCCCCTAAAAAACAAAAAAAAAAAAAAAAAAGAAGTTTAAAAAAGAGACAAAGGCAGTGTAGACCAGTGCTTTCCAAACTATCTCTGGACAAGGACTAGTTCTTGGCCTGTGCTTTTGGATATTATTTTTAAATGAAGAAAATAAAGTCTCATTTGTTCCTCTTGTCTTTCCCCCCAGGTACCAACTATCATGAATTTCCTTCTCTCCTTTTTTTAAGGCATCTACTGCAGACCAATACTTCCGTAAAATACAACAAAGCTATTTATTTTACAAAGAATCCCATGCTTGGGTGTCACAGCCATGTCAGTGTGAACGATTCTAAGTGCTTACTCTCCGTTTCTTTATCATCTTGTCGCCATCCTGTCTCAGTTCATAGTTCCCACACTTGGAGGGGTGCCGTGTTATGAGGTGGTTTGATATGATTTCAGGTCCCCTTGTTTGTGATAAGAATGAAATTGTTTTTAAGAATGAAGTTATTGGGGAATTTCCTGGCGGTCCAGTCGTTAGAACTTGGCATTTTCACTGCCGGGGCCAGGGTTCAATCCCTGGTTGGGGAACTAAGATCCCACAAGCCACTGGGCATGGCCAAAAAAAAAAAAATGAATGAAGTTATTGTTTTGATATAAAAGTGAAAATGTATTTCAGGATGTCAGCATCCACATCTGTGGCTGCCGACAGCACTTACTAGTGCTGCTGGGGGCTTAATAAGAACCTATGAAGAAGCAACATGAACAAGGGGACATTTAGACTCTAAATACTCAGAGTTTGTGGGGACTCTTGTGAGTGTTCGGTCTGGACAAGGCTATCCTTTGCTGATCTAAATAGCTCTCCGAAGACCTTGGGGCACCAGCTCCTCCCATGGTAAAGGGGACTCTTCTACCGGTAGTGGTGGAAGCCGGGCAGCACAGTGGCCTCACAAAGATCATCCTGCCTGTCAACACGAGTGTCCTGATTCCCTAGCAACGTGCTCTGGAAACAAGGACTGTGGTTTTTGCACTGACAGTTGGAAATCTGCTGAACTGTTTCTCCTGAGAACCAACTTGCTGAAAGGTACACCTCAATTAAGTTTGGACTTTATTCCTTTCATCTCCCCTTTCCTAGAACAACAGTGTGATAAATATGTGATTAGTTTGGACTGTTATTTCTTTATTGACTTATTAAGAGACATCCTTGGGCTTCCCTGGTGGCGCAGTGGTTGAGCGTCCGCCTGCCGATGCAGGGGACACGGGTTC